GTGGTGGAGGGCAGTCATTGTACCTGTGAGCGTGGTGAAGGGCAGTTATTGTGCCTGTGAGCGTGGTGAAGGGCAGTCATTGTGCCTGTGAGCGTGGTGGAGGGCAGTCATTGTGCCTCTGAGGGTGGTGGTGGGCAGTCATTGTGCCTGTGAGGGTGGTGAAGGGCAGTCATTGTGCCTGTGAGCATGGTGAAGGGCAGTCATCGTGCCTGTGAGCATGGTGGAGGCTGGAACCCTCCAGGCATTTACCAAGTATTGAGATCAGCCCTTGGAATGCCATAGTATACAGACGAGGGGGCAAGTGATGGGAAATGAGATTGGAATAGATAGATGTTTGATCACTGACACAGACATGATGGGCTGAAGCGCCTCAGTCCATACTGTAAAACTCTCTGACTCATTGATTTTAGATGGTGAAGATCCTGATGAATATTCAGGTCGATTTTGGTAAATCAGGCGAAGTCGTAAATTTGAATGCAAGTCAACTTTCCATCCATTGACTCCATCTACACTTCTCACTGCCTCAGAAAGGCAGACAACATCATCAAAGACCCCTCCCACCCCGGTTATAATCTCTTCCAACCTCTTCCATCAGGCAGAAGATACAGAAGCTTAAACACATGTTCCAACAGACTCAAGAACAGCTTCTTCTCCACTGCTAGACTTCTGAATGGACCTCTCAAATTTCAAATTTAATGTTGATCTACTCTTTGTGCACCTTCTCTGCAGCTGTAACATTGTATTCCTGTTCTGTTCCATTACGCTTATGCACTTTGTATGGTATGATCTGCCTGTACTGCACACAAAACAAAACTTTTCATTGTACCTAGGTACATGTGACAATAATAAATCCAATCAAATCAAATCAATTTATTCATTCTAATTCATGGTAGTGTCTTAAACTCAGAAAGAGCACACATTTCTCAAATATGCAGATGAGTGGAAGCTTTTTGACTAGAGTATATTAAACAAAAAGGGAATGTGAAAACCTGCCTTAATTTACAGTGAAATTTACTGCAGACAGGCAGATAGGGTGGAAACACAATGACACATTTTCCCTGGATGGGGATGAAGTGGATCAGACTGAAGACACTGAGGACTTAAAGTAAACTCCATTTTCAGCCTCTCAGTAAGGCTGGTGGGACATTGAACAACTGTGCAATAGATGGTCATCATTAACCTGTCAATCAGACCCATGTGGAAAACTCATCCAACTCCAATTGTTGACAAAAGAGGGAGACTACAGGCACGACAGACAAAACCGACTGCTGCCTCAGGTCAGAGCTTGTCACATCAAAGGAGGGACTGGAGATACGTGTGTTCTTCAGCGAAAGATACATTGAGAGGTAAACTGCTCGAAGTAAAGCAAGGCAGTACATGGCATAGCAATAGTTAATTAAGTTATTGGCTCGAAGCAAGCAGAGTAATACGGGAACAGGAGGAGGCCATTCAGCCCTCAAGCCAGTTCCACCATTCAATGAGATCATGGCTGATCTCTGGCTAACTCCAAATAGCTGCATTCGCCTGTATCCCTTAATCTCTTTGCTTAACAGAGCATCATCTATCTCTGCTTTAAAATTAGCAATGGGAGCATGATGAGGGACAAAGCTTCACATGTTATAAAGGCAGCTCCAAAACTGAATTGAATCTTCCACGAGGAGAGAGTAATCTCATCAACATGAGTCTTTCTCATCAACACAAATCAGTTCAGAATCTATATAGGTCTCAGCTGATCCCAGTGTATGGTCCGGTCATTCCCAGTACCTCATCTGCTCGATCCTAGTGCAGGGTCTGATTGATCCCAGTGTGGGGTATGGTCTGTCCCAGTACAGGATCTGGTTGATCCCAGTATAGGAACAATAAACAGAGAGGCAGAATGTTGCTGAATTGTGATGTGGGGATTTTTTTGAGAGTCTCTCTGCTTTAAGACCCAGTAAATGTTCTCAGGCAGAATTAACACAGGACTGGTGTTCCTGTTGTGATTTTGGGATGATACCAAGATTGGGTTGGCAGTAAACTCACACGCACAGAGGGTCAAACACTGGCATCAGCTTCCTCATGTGTTAAAGTGGCAGCGCCAGAAAGCAGCACTTTGTAGCTGGCTGTTTCCTGACAATCCACTCTTTCTTGTTCCCATCTCTGACGTCACATGTTTAAAATTGACTCTCTGCTCAGTGATAAATCCAAGATCAAAAACTCACAGAGTTACAAATTCCTGCCTTTCATTTTCACATCGGTTTTGGAAGCATCAAAGCTTTTTGTTTATCACTAGCTAGTAGGGCTTTCTGACCAAAGCTCAAGTCAACAAGCACTTTCTAAATCTATAAAACAGACATGCACAACCCCCTTCTGTCTCATTACCCACACAGTGTTCAATAGAGAGTTAACAAAGAACCGTATTTCACCTAAACTGGGCACCAAACTGAATTTTTGAATGTCAGCTGGTATTTGGTCCCAAGGACTGAATCTTTCAGTAATTATCACCAAACAGTGTCAGGGAATCGACTCACAGTCACAGAGTAATAGGGCTGTACAGCATGGAAACAGACCCTTCAGTCCATCTCAGCCATGCTGACCAGATAGCCTAAATAAATCTAGTCCTGGTTGCCAGCATTTGGCCCATATCCCCCTAAACACTTCCTACTCACATACCCATCCTGATGCCTTTTAAAAGTTGCCCCTTGGGTCCCTTTTAAATTTTTCCCCTCTCACCTTAAACCCATGCCCTCTAGTTTTGGACTTCCCTATCCTGGGAAAAAGACCTTGGCTATTCACCCCATCCATGCCCCTTCTATAAGGTCACCCCTCAACCTCCGACGCTCCAGGGAAAATAGCCCCAGCCTATTCAGCCTCTCCCTGTAGCTCAAACCCTCCAACCCCGGCAACATCCTTGTAAATCTTTTCTGCATCCTTTCAAGTTTCACAACATCCTTCCTGGAGACCAGAATTGGACGCAGTATTGTAAAACCAGCTTCTTTTATTTCCATTCATTATTGTTTTGAAACATTAAGTAAGAAATTCCAGCCACATTTTTGAATAGAATAGCATTTTCTTATTGATAAATAAAGATTTGGAAAAAGAAAACAAAGTCCCTGAGTCTCGAATAAAAAACAGAAAGTGCTGGAGAAACTCAGCAGGTCCAATGAGATAATATTTCAACTCTGATCGGGCTCTTCAGAACTGGATATAGAAACTGAGGAGAAAAATGTGAAGAGTTTGATAATCTGGCGCAGTGAAAGGAAACTCCTTTAGTCTGTACCTTCCTAAATACATTGATCTGCTCAATACCAGGACCTATCTCACCGATGTATGATCACAGCCTTCCCTTTCCAACCCCTACATGTCCTTTTGAGCCATAGAGATGTAGAGCATGGAAACAGACCCTTCGGTCCAACCAGTCCATGCTGACTAGATTTCCTAAACTGACCTAGTCCCATTACCAGTTAGCAACAGGGACTCAGAATCCAGGATTACTTTTCCCTTTCCTGTTCCAGAGTTGATGGAATGAATACATACAGAGAGAGAGCCACACTATCCCCGTGCTAGATGCTGAGACCAGTTCAGTCAACACAGACCAGGGAGTGAGACTGCTTCCTCGAGTGAGTGGCTCTGGGTCCTGTGTTGTTGCTGACAAACCCCCCAGCCCCACACACCACCCCCCCCCACCAACAACCCCCACCCACCCACTGTCTCACTGAAGCAGGGGCTCTCCTCAGGGCTTTCTGCCAAATGACTGATTGCAGTGAATCTTGAAAACAGTCCTTGACTTTCGGGCAGATCATGGATTGATATCGATTATCCATTCAGGACTGAGATAAGTAGGAATTTCTTCACTCAGAGAGTGGGCAATCTTTTGGAATTCTCTCCCCGGGAGGGGTATGGAGGGCCAGTCATTGAGTAAGTTCAAAACAGATCAATAAATTCCAAGGTATTATTTACATCAAAGAATTGTGCGGGGAAATGATGTTGAGCTGGATGATTAGCCATGATCTAGAATGGTGGGATAGGTTTGAGGGGCCAAATTGCCTACTTCTGCCTCTATTTCCTATGTTCCTTCTGAAGACCATATTGTTTACTTTTACTGTTTTTTTATTGTGGTCTGAATTGGGACAATAACTATTTTACAACAAAGAACTAGGGAAGGAATTGCTGTATTTTTTTTAAACAAATGATGGAGCCTCCTTGTAGGTGTGGTGGTTACACTGCTGCTTTGTTCAACCAATGGCAGGAGATGTTTGTAAATGGCCCAGCGCCAGGGATCTGTGGACAAACTGAGATTCGGCTGGCGATAGGTGGCTGACTGGTTGTGGATTTGAGACCAGTATGGATGCCGAAAGCCATCAGACTAACAACAACCATCTGATTGGTTTCTAGGTAGCTGAACAGTTTCTGGCTGTGACATATACTGGCAGGAAATTTCACAATGCTTAAAAAGGTGGATGGTGTGTTGCTCTTCCTTGTAAAATGTCTAAAGTCTGAAGAAAGCCAGTCTTATTTTCTCTCACCAATTTCTGTGTGCTGTTGCTTTTAACCGATAAGTCTGAGACTTCATAATTTGTGAACCAGTCGCTCTATGCCCCCTGTGAAGATGTGAGAAAACCTAAAGACTGAAGAACTAAAGGGCTTGGAGAAACAAAAGTAATGCTCTATCAAATCCTGAGGACTGGTGCGAGTGAACTGTCTCCCCATACTTTTATCCAACTATCCATAACACCAATGTTTTGTCGGTGTCTTTGTGTGTGTGTGTGTGTGTGTGTGTGTGTGTGCGCGCGCGCGCGCGTGCGTGTGGGGGTCTGTGTGTGTGTTTGTGTGTGTGTTACAGTTTTAATGAGTGGGGTTATATGTTGACCGTTCAGAATTGTAAATCTGTGCTAATTCTTGTTGAGTGTAGGAGCCTGGTCCATATTTTTTCTAAGCTTGTGTTTAGCTGACAAATCAATCGGGAACTTCACTCACTTTGATAAAATTTTCAACTTCCCAGGATGACTCCAGGAATGGTGGGGTTGATTTCTAGCATAGGCCCCCATGAGGGGTAATATCCTTGTCATGGTAAATTATCCCAAGTGTAACTTTTCCAATCTCTAATCACTCAGGAAATTTCAGTGTGAAGGTTTGAGTCTGATTTCTTTTCATCTGTTCATTTCTAGTAAGCTACAGGATGTGGATGAAAAGCCTGATTCCTAAATGGAGGAATATTGTGGCTTTAATCATTAAAACATTCACCAGAATCTGGAGGATGCCTGGATAAGTTCTGCTGATGCTTTTTAAGCAGCTCTTTGTTGAATAAGATTTGCAAAAGGATCATTCATCTGTTCTGTAATTAATGATGTACATTTCAAATTGACCTTGTATTTAAAATTCCAAGAGGAAGAAGTTGTATGGGATATGAGCAGGGGACAGTGATTTGTTTAATGAATTTAAACAGACAGGGTAAAGGAAGAAATAAATGACTACGAGAATACTGAAGGTGTGGTTTTATGGACATTGTTTGATTGATTAACTGAAAAGTTTTGTTTATGAGCAGTTACAGGCAGATCATAGTAAGCAAGGACATATCGATCATAGGGTGAAAAAAAGAGGCATACAGGTTTCATTGCACAGGGTGCGTGCTAGGTGAGATCAATGTTAGCAAGATCAGCGTTATTTCAGGCTAGAGCATCCATTCATCAGTCTGATAACAGCTGGGAAGAAGCTGTTCCTGAACCTGTTGGTGCATGTGTTCAGGCTTCTGTATCTTCTGCCTGACGGAAGAGGATGTAGGAGATCATTACCGGGGTGCGATGGGTCTTTGATGATGTTGGCAGCCCTTCTGGGGCAGCGAGCCATGTAAATGGAGTCCATGGATGGGAGGTTGGCTTCCGCGATGGTCTGGGCTGTGTGCACCACTTTCTGTAGTTTCTTACGGTCCTGGGCAGAGCAGTTGCCGTACCAGGCCGTTATTGCACCCGGGCAGTGTGCTTTCAGTGGTGCATGTGTAGAAATTGGTGAGGGACCTTATGGACATGACAAATTTCCTGAGCTGCCTGAGGAAGGAGAGGCATTGTTGTGCCTTCTTAGCCATTGCATCTACATGGGAAGTCAGGGACAGGTTGTTGGTTATCGTCACTCCAAGGAACTTGATGCTGTTCACATTCTCAACCACAGTTCAATTAATGTAGATGGGGGTGTGTTCTCCTCCTTTCTTTCTGAAGCCAATGATCAGTTCTTTAGTTTTGCCGACATTGAGAGAAAGATGTTGTTCTCATTGTACCACGTCACTGAGCCCTCTATCTCCCTTCTGTATTTTGACTCATTGTTAGATATCCGTCCCACTGCGGTGGTGTCATCAGTGAACTTGTCGGTGGCATTCATTTGGAATTTGGCAACAGAGTCGTGGCTGTACAGGGAGTACAGTAGGGGGCTGAGGACACATCCTTGTGGGGCTCCAGTGTTGAGTGTTATTGTGGAGGAGGGGCAGTTACCTATCCTCACTGATTGCAGTGAGGTCAGAAAGCTGAGGATCCAGTTGCAGAGGATGGAGCCAAGACCAAGGTCACAGAGTTTTGAGATCAGTCTGAAGGGGATAATGGTGTTGGAGGAGGAGCTGTAGTCAATGAGCAGGAGTCTGATGTAGGTGTCTTTGTTGTCCAGATTTTCCAGGGATGAATGCAGGGCTCTGGATATGGCATCCTCTGTGGGCCTGTTACATCGATAGGCAAATTACAGGGGATCGAGGCAGGCCGGGAGACTGGAGTTGATGGGGGCCATGACCAGCCTCTCGAAGCACTTCATGACGAATGAAGTTCGAGGCACATGGCATGTGTTTTCCTGGGTACGGGGAGGATGGTGGTCTTCTTGAAGCAGGTGGGGACTTTAGCTTATAGCGGGGAGAGGGTGAAGATGTCGGTGAATACCTCCGCTAGTTGGTCCACACAGGATCTGAGTGCTCGGCCGGGGACACCGTCCAGGCCCATCACTTTCCTTGGGTTAATTCCTGATTTCTGAAGCAGCGACAGAGGGAACAGGTGTGTTTGGGGCTGTTGGGGCAGGTGTCATCGTGCTGGTGGTATTCTGCTTAAACCGAATATAGAAAGCATTGAGCGTGTCAGGGAAGGATGTGTCATTGTCTATTATCTCACATGGTTTCATTCTGTATCTCGTGATGTTGTTTAGGCTTTGCCATAGGCAGCGGGAGTCTGTTTGGTAGGTCTGGGCCTCTAACTTGGTTCGGTACTGCCCCTTGGCCTCCCTGATGGCTTTGTGGAGGTCAAATTCACATCTGGGTTTTCTATATTGGTCTGGGTCACCCGACTTGATTGCTGCACGTCTGATCTTCAGTAGGAAGTGGATTTCCTGGTTTATCCAAGGTTTATGGTCGGGGAACACTCCGAATGACATCATTGGTATGCAGTCCCCCACACATTGGCTAATGAAGACCATGACGGTGTACTTGTCTAGGTTTTCCACTGAACACTTGAACAAAGTCCAGTCCACCGAGCCCCCAAGCTGTCCCGGAGATGGTCTTCTGCTGCTTCAGACCAGCACTGTACTTCTTTTTGTGAAGGATCCTCCCATTTCAGCCTCTGCCTGTTAGCTGGGAGGAGGAGCCCAGCGCTGGGTCTGATTTTCTGAAGTGTGGGCAGGGGCTGGAGTGATAGGCACCTCTGATGGTTGTGTAGCAGTGGCCCAGGATGTTCGGTCCCCTGGTGGGGCAGGAGATGGGTTGGTGGCACTTTGCCAGCATCCTCTTGAGGTTGGCTTGGTTGAAGCTGCTGGCCTCAATGAACAGGACCTCAGGGAATCTCATCTGTAGTGTTTGTGAGGGTGTAAAACACATCTAGGGCATTCTTCACATCCGCACGGGATGGGATATAGACTGCTGTTGGGATGGCGGAGGTGAACTCTCGTGGTAAGTAGTAGGGACAGCATTTCACTGTAAGGTATTCTAGGTCCAGGAAGCAATGGCTTACCAGGGTCACTTGATCTGAGCACCAGGAAGTGTAGATCAGGAAGCATACCCCACCACCTTTATGGAATTAGGACATATGGAATCAGTGGGTTTACACTGAGTCATGGATATGCTACACTGCTCTGTCCAATCTGAGCAAAACACTGAGTAGGTTCAATGAACTACTTTATCCAATTATCCCGTATCAGAGTTGTCAACAAATTGTAAGGTTCATTTCAGTTGTTTTTTTATTGCTGAGCTTCAACTTTTGTGCCCCACAGGTTTCTTGCTTTCCAGTTCCTGCTGCCAGTCCTACAGATCTCCCTGATCTGTCTCTGTATTGGACGTACTCCTGAGAATCTACCTGTTGCTGTGGTGAACAATGATACAGGACAACCTGCCCTGAGCGAGACCTTCCTGCTGCATTTTGACAACAAAACAATCGTCCAGGTCATTTCCATCTCACAACAGAAACAGGCCATTCAGCCCAACTGGTCTCTGCTGGTGTTTCTGCTTCACTCAAGCCCTTTCCCGCTGTCTCAGCATCTCCTCATCCTCCTCCCCTTCCCGCTCATGGGCTCACCCAGTGTCTGTACATTTCCCCTTAGATGCTCCACATGTGGGGTGGAAGCTCCACATTCTCCTCACTCTCTGGGGAAAGGAGTTTTGTCTGAATTCCACAGTTGGATCAATTAGCGATGATCTTGTATGGATGAAGAGTGAAGCAGTGTAGGCCGTTCACCACTCCTCCCCACATCCCCCAGCCTGCTCCATCACTCAATAAGATCTTGGCTGAAACAAAAATAGAAATTACTGGAAAAGCTCACTGAGAGGAGACAGATTTTAAAGAGACATGAGGGGAAAATGTTTTACACAGAGGGTGGTTCACATGTGGAATGAACCTCCTGAGGAAGTGGTAGATGCGGGTACAATTACAACATATAAAAGACATTTGGATAAGCACATGAATGGGAAAGTTTGGAGGGATATGGGCCAGGAGCAGGCAGGTGGGACTAGTTTAGTTTGGGATTATGTTTGGAACGGACTGGTTGGACTGAAGGGTGTGTTTCTGTGCTGTATGACTGTATGATTCTAGGTCTGGCAGCATCTGTGGGAAGAAAACAGAGATAACGTTTCTTGGCTGATCTCAGCTCCGCATTTCCAGCCTACTCCAATAACTGCTGGGTTCCGCATCAGTCAAACATCTATATCCGTCCATATGACCCCCCTCCACTACTGCCTGTTGTTCCACGGTCTCACATCCCTCTGAGTGAAAATATTTCTCCTCATCTCTGCCTTAGACTTGAGACCCCTTACTTTGAAACTGTGTCCCCTGGTTCTGGTCTTTGTCATTGGGGGAAATATCCTTTCAGTAACTGCCCTGTAATGCCCCCTCAGTAGGTTTCAATAAGGTCACCTTTCATTCTTCAAAATGTTCAACCATCTCCATCCAGGAAATCAGGTTGAGCGAACATTCTCTCAACTGGTTCTAATTCATTTACACCTTTTCTTAAATAAGGAGACCAAACTCTGTACAAATGTGAAACAAAGACAGAAATTGCTGGAAAAGCAATTCTCTCTGTGGAGAGAAATCAGAGTTAATGTTTCGGGTCGAGTGACCCTCCCTCAGAACTCCTTTTGGTTTTTATTGCACACAGATGTGGTCACCTGTATGCCCTGTGATAAAACATCCCTGTTTTTATATTCCATTCCCCTTACAACCATCAGCAACCTTCCATTTGCCTCCCGACCACAGGCTGTCACTGCAGGCTCATGTTTTCTGATTCACCCTGAGCTTTCAGCACCACAAAATGCCATTGCCTCTCTCCCATTTAAAGAATATACTACTTCTCTATTCTTCCCACCAAAGTGGATGAATTAATGTTTTTCCCACATTACACACCGTTTGGCAAGGTGCTAAAACTGATGATGGAACATTCAAGCCCAATTTAATTGACTGGAGCAGGGACAATGACAGGGTGGACACTGAGTGGTCAGGGAACCTGGGAGGATTGGGGGTAGGGGGTAACCGTCTTGACATAAGGGGGCAATCATTTTGCATTGAGATAAAGAGAAACTACATCACTCCAAGCATTGTGAATCTTTGCAATTCTCGAGCCCAGAGCATTGTGAAATTTCCATTGAGTGATCTGTGTAAGGCTAGGATAAGCTAATGTTTAGTCTCTCAGGGAGTCGAGGGACAGGGGAGCAAGCATGAAAGTGCAGTGGAAGCTGAAGGCCAGCATGATCGTATTAAATGTTGGAACAGGCTCTTGGGGCTGAATGGCCTCCTCCCATTCCTATATCTTATGTTATAAAGGAAGTGAAATAACTCCACAGAGGATGGTATCCCATCACCAAGTCACCTTTTATTTACACATGGACAGTCCTTGACATTGCCCCAGCTCCCTCAGAGCCAGCTTTCAGAGTGAGCAGAAGCTCTGACACTCCTATTCTTATCTGTCAGCCTGGGTTCCCTGATTGGACCCAATTAACAGCCCCATTCGGGGAACTCATATGCTCTGGGATCCACCTGGCTGACCTCGCTCCGATCACTACAGGAAGCATTTCAAACAAAAGGGTTTCAAAAAGAAGCCCAGTAATTGGCCAGATCTTTAAAAAGGGTTCTGGGCTCTGCTTTGGGGAACTGGTTGATTACAACATAAAAACAAAAAGAAGAAGAGCAGGAGGAGGCCATTCGACCCTTCAAGCATGCTCCACAGTCCAGTACCAGCATGGCTGATCTTCACCTTCAACTCTTAATGAGGCCAAAAGTTTTCTCTCTGAGAACCATGAGTTTTCGGAACTCCCTTCCTGAAAAGGTCTCTAACTTCAAATAATGCTGATCTTGTTAATGTTGATCTTGCCTGGAGTACATCCTGTGCAGTGTAACCTGTATGCCTTTACTCTGACCAAGATTGTTTTCACCCTATGATCTGTATGCGCTTGCTTACTATAATCTGCCTGCACTGCTCGCAAACAAAGTTTTTCACTGTATTTAGGTACACATGACAACGAATCAAATCAAATCAAGGTGGTGGATGCAGTACTTGAATATTTTTAAGAAGAGACAGATAAATTCTCGTTAAGCACGGGGGTGTAGGGGGACGTGGAAGGTTATTGGGGTAGGCAGGAAGGCAGATTTCTGATCACGATCATATCAACCCTCATCTTATTAACAGGGCCAGCATGATCAAGGGCTGATTGGCCATCTGCTGGTCCTTGTTCATTGTTTGTAATGGTGCAGGGTGAACATCACATGGACACACTCCTGTGTGACCTGTGTCTGTCTCATTGTCCAATTGATGCTCCATTGACTGGGCCTTCACACGGTGAGCAGATCCACACAGAAATCCCAGGATTTCTGAAACCCTTACACTTTGGTATTCATCTGGAAAAATGCAAACAAGTTCACCAGAGAAATGTTGTTACATATTCCACACTTTGACTTTGTGTCACAATGGAGTTACTTTGCTAGTTTTGTGTCAACAACGGTGGCCTGTATTAGTCATTTTGAAGGTCGTGCTTTCTCATGTATGACTGACTGTTTGTTCTATCTTACAGATTCACACAAACCAGTTAGATGCCATTGAGGGAATAATCGATGGGAAATACCGGGGTGCTATCGGCTTTGGAACAAACTTTACACAAGATCTTCTTTTAAGGTGAACTGCAATTGATAAGTGTTGTTTTATTTTGAGAAACTACATCGAATGGCTATCTCATGTTCATCCTTAGGATGAGGATATTGCTGGCAAGGCCAGTACTGTTGCCCATTCCTAATTGCCCCTTGAGACATTGGTGGTGAGCCACCTTCTTAAACGTAATTGAGTGTCTCACTTGGCCATTTCAGAGGGCATTTAAGAGGCAACCACATTGCTGTGGGTCTGGAGTCACGTGTAGGCCATTCAAAGTAAGAAAGGCAGATTTCCTTCCCTAAAGGACTTTGGTGAACCAGGTGGGTTTGTTTTTACAGTAATTTCACAGACACCATCATAGAGTCATAGAGATATACAGCACAGAAACAGACTCTTCGGTCCAACTCGTCCATGCCGACCAATCACAGAGAATTGATTTTATTTTGACGTATGAAGTTTCAAACATGGTTATGTTTTGAGGCTATCACCTTAATTTTAGGTAGAATGGAAGAATGAAGTGTATCTTGTGACTTGTTTTGAATGCATACTGACAAGAAACTTTAGGTGGCGTTTGGGAGTGGTGGGGAGGGGTAAATGTGCTGGTTTCATCACTGAGAAGGAACTTTAAGAATGGAGGCCAGGCCAACAGTACCGATGGTAGATGGATAGTTAGTTTCCAAGCCCCTGGAAGCTGTTGCAGCACAAGGCAGTTATAATTTCAACTGTTGATTTAATGGTAAGATGAAATTGAGTTAAGAGTTTTAAAAGATAGTGAACCAGTATTTCTACCTGGATACAAGGCCCATGTCATTCCTGTTGCCACGGAGGGGGCGTTGGGAAGGGAACAGGCTATAGAAAGTTCTTGGAGGACCATAGTTTTTAAAGTTTTCTTTAAACATAACTGAACCTCACATAAAGGTCAGTCTGCAAGACTTTGAGAGACAGAGGGAGCCTTTCTCTATTATTCACCAACCAGAATGCACGATCCAAGTGACAAAGGTCATGAAGTTTTAACTGAGACTGGAAGATTTGCCTAGCTTTGACTAGACAGAGAAATTTCCAGCTGGCCCTCACTGTGAAGTCAGGTAGGGGTTTAGAAGCTATATTTTTAGAAACATTTGAAAAAAGGAAACAAGCCATTGGGAGCTGAGAATACCTTTGAAGTGGTTCCTGCCGAAAAAAGAGCCTACTTAAGGCACATAATAAAGTACAGCAGCCAAAGCTGATTATTAGGCATTTTTAAATGTTAAATGTAGGTCTTTTCTGCAATCTAAGGAATAAGTTCCCTACGGAATAGTATTTAGATAATGTTGCTTTAAGTCTGTTCATTACAGTAAAAGTCTTGAAACTTGAAATCTTGTGTGATATCTTCAGTTGGTCACATGAATTGAGATATCTTTTTAAGAAACTATCAGTCTCTTTAGTGATTGTTACAATTCCAGATTTATTTTATCAACTACATTTCAATTTGAGATCTGCCTTGGTGGAATTTGTTCACATCATTAAATGCAGGCATTTAGATTGTTAGCCCAATAACATATAATCATTGTGCTATCATTTGTGATAGATTATCATGCAATAAGAATACATCAAACACCATTCTATCCTCGTCTTTCTGCAGTAATACACAAGTCTGATTTCCTTTTAGGGCAACTGAGAAGGTAGTGGATGAAAGAACGATTGATGGGGGTTCAGTCCATGTCTGGCTAGATATGACTAGTAAGTTTATGAAATCACTCTCCCTGTAAACTGGCAAAGGAAAATGTTTGATCTGTGTTGTAGATATATGTTTCATGGCTCATGTTATATTCGAGAGGTAATATTTAGTTCTGGGAAGATTATTGATGTGAAGGTAAGCATTATGATCACAGCTGGTTACCACTGGACACGTCAGATCTTAGACTAAAATCTGGCTTGATAAATCAGATTATTTTTCTCTATTTAATGAGGTGGTCTTTCACAGAAGGACAAATACTCAATCCCACAGCTTTGGTTTAAACAATAAAACAGACGTTTATTACACGAAGGAAATGAAACTAAATGATTTACATATAATACATGTTTAAAGATTTCAAAGCACGCAGTAAACTATAATCCCATTACTTCCAACAGCACTAATTTAATGCGCTCAAACACCAGCAAGAGTTCCCCACTCTATCACACAAATGATGTGACTTAGCTATGGCTTCAAATCTCGCTTTAGAGAATCTGATTGCCTCTTCCTTGAGCTTTCATATAACTGAGCGCAGACTTTCTCAGCTTCAAGTAACCTCCTCAGGGTTTTAATCAAAGACTTCTGGTTTGGAAAGTTTAAACTAAACTCCTTACACTGATGTAATCTATTTCTCAACAGTTCCAAACCATCTCAGAAGTAACTGCTTTACTTATTGATTTATTCAGCCAAACTGTCTGCAAACTTGCCAGGCTGAAACCCAAATGCTTTTCCAAATTATGGATGTTCCCCTTACAGAAAGAAGAAAAAGCAATCTCTGACCTTCTAAACTGAAAGTCTAATAGCCAACTGTTTACTTTTGTGCTCATGGAATCTCTTTCAATGTAAAACAAATTCCCATTAGTCTCCAAGAACTATCTCTCACAGACTGGTTTTAAAAATAAATCACCATGGCTACTGAAATATTTTAAAGTTAATTATTAAACCCCTTCATAAGTTGACATTCTGCCTCTATCAACTACACATTAAAATCCTGGTCCACTTTTCTCCTTGTCTTTGCAACTTGCAGCTTCGTATCTCAACATCAACATAAAGAGATGACCTGAAATACAAAATAATAATTAAAAACAAATAAAAAGGGACACTAATCCTGCTAAGACCATTTCCACCCTTCAGGTTAAGGATACATGTGTTTCAGTTATTGCTGTCAAATATCATGGCACCTTGCAACAAAAAAGGAAACTGCATTTTTAAGAACTTTAACGCGAGTGGTGGGTGCTGAAGGCACTTGACAAAGAGAGAAAAAGTAAAGAAATTTGAGCAGAACTCAATATCGAGCATAATCCACTGAGCAGATAAAGGACACTGAGAAAATTAAAGAGAAAGATGGGAATGGAGAATAAAATCCTGATACCAAAATGATGTGTCTCACAGAAAACTCTGGGATTACAGTAACGACTCTTCCCTTGGGAGAACAATCCAGTTAAAGCCAACCCAGGTAGAGTATGATTGAGAGGAGGTTTCTGTGGAGAAAGCTGAAAATTTTGCAAAGAAAATCGATGTTGACAGCATCAGCCTAGCAATGGCTGCTGTTTGTGGTTTTAATCGTGACATTAGCTCATCTACAAGCTGCCTTGTGGGACGGCCCATTACCAAAAGCTCAAGCCTGCATGACTGACATCAGCGTATTCAAGAATTTAATCAGGAATATCACCCCACTGAGATCTTTAACTAGACAAAGTCTTCTATGAAAAAAAGTAATCTTTTCCTTCTCAGTTTTGTTTCATGATGCACACAGACATTAAAAGAAAGCTCTATAATATGACCTATGATCATCAGCAGTTCATACAGATGATCACAGACAGTGAGATGGGTAGAGGGCCAATAGTGGTCAGGGGTTCCTCAGTGAGAGGAGTTGGCTGACACTTTTCCAGCCGTAGACATGACCCCAGAGTGGGGTGCACCCTCCCGGGTCCCCAGCCCCCACAGGGTCAAGGATGTCATGGAGCAGCTGCACAGGATTCTGAAGGAGGAGGGTGAACAGCCGGAGGGTGAACAGCCGGAGGCTGTGGTTCATATTGAGACCAATGACACAGGAAGAAAGAGGAGTGAGGTCCAGCAAGCAGCCTTTAGGGAGTTAGGGAGCAGGACTTCAAAGGGAATAATCTCCGGGGAGAGATGTCCAAGACATAAGGAAACCTGGACCGCAAGGGTCAAAAAGGTTAGGATTCAGAAAGAAAAAGCTTATGGCAGATACCGAGGGCTCAATGTGGAACAGTCCCTAGAGGCATCTAAAAAGTGAACAGGGCACACTTAGAAAGGAAAATACAAAAGCAAAGAGAGTGCATGAGAGAGCATGAGTGTAGAATAAGGCAAACCCAAAGGGGTTTCTTAGAAATTTAATGGATAAGAGAATAACTGGGACAAGAGTAGGACCCATTCGGGACTATAGAGGTAATGTGTGTGTGTATGGACCCAGAAGACATGAGCGCAGAACTCAATTAATACTTTGCCTCAGTCTTCACAATGGAAAAGGACAGTGCAGGTATAGACATCAGGATGGAGGACTGTGAAATATCAGAACATATTAAGAGTGTGTGTGAGAGAGAGAGAAATAGGACAGAGAGAGAGAGAGATAGAGAGAGAGAGAAAGAGATGGTACCAGTGGGTATAGCAACCGTAAAAATGGATAAATCTGTAGGCCCAGACGGGATGAATCTCAGCCTGTTGAGGGCAATGTCAGGAAGTTTCAAATCTTTTTTGTATTTTCCACGGGCGAGACGCTAGAGGATTGGAGAAATACTAACATTATCCCATTACTGAAAAAGGGAGGCAGAGAATTTATTGGTCTTTCTAATTATTGTATTTAAGACAAAGGCAGAAAGATTCTTGTTTAGCGGGGAATCGGGAGCTATCGGGGATAAGTGGGAATGTGGTATTCAAAACACAAACAAATCTCATTCACAGAATTGTTATAGAGCAGAACGAGGACATTTGGGTCATTGTCCTATTTCCCCTAATCCCTATTCTCCATTTCTACCCAAATAACGATCCAATTCCCTTGTGTATGTCTCAGTTGAACCTGTCTCCAGCACATTTCCAGGCAGTGCATTCCAGACCCTAACTACTCGCTGGGCGAAAAAGTCTTTCCTCACATCACCCTTGTCACCCTTGTACATCACTTTCAATCTCTGTTCCTCTGATGAACAGGAGCAGTGTCTGTCTATCTACTCTGTCCAGCCCCCTCGTGATTTTGGAAACCTCAGTTGACTGTGGAGAAGGCTTGAAGGGGCTGAAGAGCCCAATCCTGCTCCTAATTCCCAAGTTCTTGTGTAATGGTGTACTATGCTTTAAAACAATGAGGTAAGTTTTCAATTCTGACCCTCTATATTGAATCCCAGTACTTGTCTTACTAACCTCTATATTGTGCTGCTAAACACTCCAACAGATGTGGAGCTCATGTCCGCTGAATCTCTGCTCCAGATCTCTGAGGTTTCCTAAAATAAGGTTTGGTTCTACGACAAAAACCGAAAGAACTGCGATGCTGTAAATCAGGAACAAAAACAGAAGTTGCTGGAAAAGCACAGCGGGTCCGGCAGCATCTGTGAAGGAAAAACAGAGTTAATATTTTGGGTCTGATGACACTTATCCCCCGGTTCTGAGGAAGGGTCACCGGACCCGAATCGTTAACTCTGATTTTTTCTTCACCGATGCTGCCAGACTTGCTGAGCTTTTCCAGTAACTTCTATTTTTGTTCTGTGATCATATGCAAAGTCAGATTGCTGCAGTCCTGCAGACAAACTCCAGCGGTTGGAGAAGGCAGCTCCCCACCACCTTCTCAAGGAGCAACTAGGGCCAGGCAATAAATGCTGGGCCAAGCCAGTGACACCCCGCCCCCCAGTGTCATCAATAATTCATAAAGAAGTCAGACTGGCATCATCTATTCCTGCCTCAGACTGAGCAATGGTCAGAAAGAGCCACCAATATTGTAGTTGGTTGTTGATATACAGTAAAACAAGCTGCCAGAACATCCGTTGTGTTTAGTTGGGTGTTTATCTTATGGAGACAATTTGAGATGATGGGGAGCTGATTCACAAATTCTGTCCTGAGCTCTGCCTGTTTTTCCATCTGAGGCTGGAACTCAGTGTCACAGCCTGGCCTCAGCTTAAAGCTGCAAATGTCCAATTCTGCTATCCCTGGTCACTGGCCCATCCATCATAGAATGTGTTCTTATTCACTCACAGGATGTGAATGGTACTACTAAGGTCAATATTTAATACCCAATCCTTAATCGTGCTTAGGAAGGTGTGAGTGAGCTGCCTTCTGGAATGAGTGCCTTTGCCTGACCATTTCAGAGGGAGTGCTGTGGTGTGGGTCTGGAGTCACATGCAGGCCAGGCTGAGTACTGATGGAAGGCAGATTTGTTTCTCTATAGAAACTCTCAATGAATGACCTACCTTTGGGCTGCATCATCACAAACGCCAGGATATTGGGCAGAAACTGGTTATTTCTCTTTCCAATTCCAGAGTATTGCCTTGTTTTATTCACTGAGCCTTGTGACAATGCTATGAAAAATTCACAAAGCTAACACCCTCTAGAATCTAGCAGGTAGCCATATATCACAGTCAGTGAGGTCTTCCTGATGCACTGTTCCTTTCAAGAACATCCAGCGGAAGTGATGTGTTAGCGAGACTGTGCAAGACACCAGTTTACGGCAATTTCTTGTGTTTGCAGAATGGCTTTAATGTTGGACCTGATCCCAAGGCACATTGATAAGTTGGCACCAGATCACATAAGGAAATATTAGGACAACTGGATTTAAAAAGTGTTTTCAATGGGAAGAAAGAGATGGAGAGGTTTAAGGGGTTGGTGGGGGGAGGTAGTTCTGGAGCTTAAGGACCCAAACAGCAAAAGGAGTGGTTGCCAGATGAAATGGGTAACAGGGACTTTCTAATTCTGCGATCTCCTCAGCCTGACAAACCTCCAAACTGTGTGCTCCTCCATTTCTGGGCTGCTGTACATCCCTGAGCTGCTTGGGGCCCTGTGTTCAGGAGTTCCCTCCTTAAACCTCTCCATCTCTGTCTCTCTCTCTCTCTTTCTCTTCAACCAAGCTTTTGGTCACCTTGTGTCTCTTGGTGTGAGATTGAATTTGCTAGAGTCCTTGACCAATGGCTTGAGATGCTTCAGTCTGTTCAAGGCACTATAGAAATGCAAGTTTTAAGAAAGTGTTGTTTGATTAAAAGATGAAATGTGTCCTATTAGTTTCATAGTTTTGTACTTCTGTTTGTGAAAGCAGTTGTAGTTGAAATAGAATTAATATGTCGATGTGCTGATTTACTTTTAGACCAGGAAATTGCATTCACCATCAAACTAAAGGTGCAAGAAGCATTTGAGGTACTTTTCAAAAAACCATCATTAAGTTATCACAACTTTCAGTACCTGGTTTGACCGCCCACTTTACATTGTCTGCCTGATCTTTTACCATAGGGGTTTGTTAAGGAGGTCCTGGGAAAGGCTTCATACCTGTTCTCTCCTCCCAGTGAAGGTAAGGAACATGATTTGTCATTGAAATACTTGCTAATATTTAACTAAGACCAAAGCGAGCCTCGGACACAATATAATTAAGTATGAGCTATCACTGATTGATGATGCTCAGGTCCCTGAATTGCTAATTTTATATTTTAAATCATCAGACATAGGAACAGGAGTAGGCCAGTTGGCCCATTGAGTCTGTTCCACCATTTGTTGAGATCGTGGCTGATCTGATTATCCTCATCTCCACTTTCTTGCCTTTTCCCCATAACCCTCCATTCCCCTTCCCAATTAAAAACCTGTCTCTCTCAGCATTGTATCCTTGCAATGGATTTCCATAGCCATCAATTTCACACGGGATTGGGAGTATCTTGTGGTTGAATCCGTTTATACTTTTCTGCAAACTTTGGTGCAGCCACAGGGAGAGCTTGGTGCTGCTCACTTCCAGCTGGTACTTTGGTCACGAGCTCTCGATGTTTGCAGGTCAGTATTTTCTTGTCACTGGATACTGTTCTTTTATTTCTCATTGTGAGCGCCAATCGCAGTGACATAGAACCTCACTTTCTCACTTGCCCCTGTTCCTACCACATGGTGTCCCAAGGTCAACGGGGCATCCAGAGGTAAGGAGGGCATCCAGAGGTAAGAAGGTTGTCCAGAGGTAAGGAGGGTGTCCCAAGGTAAGGAGGCTGTCCTGAGGTAAGGAGGGTGTCCTGAGGTAAGGAGGGTGTCCTGTGGTCAAGAGGTATCAGTCCTTACCGACAGTTATTACTCAGTCCTTAATGACAGTTATTACTCAGTCCTCTCTAGCAGTTATTATCCAGTCCTTATTAGATGTTATTACTGAATCCTCACATGCATTTTTTACTCAGTCCTTACTGGTAATTGTTACTCACTCCTTACAGTCAGTTATTACTCAGCCCTTACTGACGGTTATTATTCAGTCCTCACTGGTGGTTATTACTCACTCCTTACAGGCAGTTATTACTCACTCCTTACAGGCAGTTGTTGCTCAGTCCTTATTGGTGTTTATTACTCAGTCCTTGCTTGACATTATTACTCAGTCCTTACTGGCAGTTATTACTCAGTCCTTGCTGGCAATTACTTCTTAATCCTTACTGGGGGGTTATTACTCAGTCTTTACTGGCAGTTAGTATTCTGTCTTTACTGATAGTTTGATCTCTCTTTCATTCTTGGCCCAGGGCACAGAGCCCAGTGGTGGTTCCATGAGAGTCGTGTAGGTTAAACCCACAGTCAGTGCAGGCCATCAGCTCAACCTGAGACACTATGTATTACTCTGTATTATTACTGTCACCAACCCACTGCACCACGGGAGGGCTATAGAATTAACCACATTCTGATTTCTGACAGAGAGACTAAACCTACTCAGTAAATAATCCCTTGTATATTCCTCTTCCTCCTCCTTCACAGCATTGTATATTACACAGTATGATAGTATCTTTGTTGGAGGCATAAAGGTTTAGTTTCTGATGTTAGCAGAGTCGGTTAATTATTTGGACGTTGGATTTGAAGCTCAGAGTTCAATGTGAGGTAATGAGTGATTATAAATAAATACGTCCTTAATAACTCCATTGTTTTGGTGTAGTTTGAAGAGTCAATTTGTGGGAATAAACATCCTGATTTTACAACATTCATTGTTCCTGGGACAATCTTAAGGTGAAGTATAAAATCGATCTTGTTAATAAAGCCCAGTTTACAGTTATTTTTCTCAAATAGAACAACAGAATATTCACACACTGTCTAATACTCTGATGGTAATCAGCTTTAATAAACTCACAGCAAATCAATGGGGCATGAATTCAATCAATTAACAAATCATAATTTCATTGATCTAGTGCCTGACTGAATCTGTTAAGACCCTGAATATTTCACACTAGAATGAGGGTGTTGTTTTTGAGAAGCGATTACAATTTCTTTCTCTTCTGCTTCATCATTTGCTGATTTTTGATATTTTAGGGATTTGCAATTTCTAGAAGAGAACTGTTTGTGTCAGTGAAACTGAACCCCCTCCAGAAACCCTTGTTACCAATAGCCCCTTCCACACCCTTGTCACTGATACACCCTGAAGTATCCCCATCCCTAATGGCCCTGTCCCTAACAACCTCCCGTCCCCAATAACCTGTGTCCCTAATGCCCCCTGTGATATCCCCTGTCACTATTTCACTGGGTAACATCCCTGTTCCGCTTTGACAAAGATACAGCACCAAACCGCGCGCCTGCAGCATTGTACATTCAGAGTGTTTTAGAGCAATAAAAACCGACAGAACCGCGGATGCTGTAAATCAGAAACAAAACCAGAAATTGCTGGAAAAACTCAGCAGGTCTGTGGAGAAAGAAATCGGAGTTAATGTTTCGGGTTGAGTGACGCTTTCTAGAAGGATGTTGACCATTCCCTCTGTCACTAATGGCTGTATCGTAGATATCAGCATCAGGAAGGGCGTTCTAACAAAGCTTTCTTTGGAAATCTTCACAGCATCACTTTTTTCTTGGCCCTGGGTTTGACGGCTCTCTCGTTTGTCATCGAAAAGCGGGAGGGCTTGCTGGACAGAAACTGGGCTGCAGGTTGGTGTGACACGATTATTGTGGCAAATTACTTTAACCTCTTAAGGAAATAAGAGCACTCTTTGTGAATCCTCCAACTACATCAATCATCAAATGAAACTGACTGGCTGTGAATATTCAGTTCTGGTCAGGGGTCTGTACTGGTAAAGTAATTCTCCACAGCCAAACCATATCGTAACCTTTCTGTGCAACTCACCTCTGACTATAACAAAGCAAGTTCTCATTGGCTGTGCTGTCCTTTCTTGTCACAGTCATGTTCCTGAATAAATATTGTGTTACCTAGTCTGTCACTGTAGGTAACAGTGGGGTGAATGATACATTGATGAAGATATCCCCACTGGGGGAGACAGCAGGGTAGCTAAACCAGAGTAAACCAGAGACCCAGGTGAATGACCTGGAGACAAGTTCAAATCCCACCCCAGGAGCAAATGGAAATTAAATTTAACTAACAAAATGTGGAATTGAAAGATGGTTTTAGTGATGGTACCATGAAACTATCAGCAATTGTCAGAAAAACTCACATGCTTCACCCATGTCCTTTAGGGTGGGAAATCTGCCATCCTTACCCAGTCTGGCCTACACATGACTCCAGACCCACAGCAATGTGGTTGTTTCCTAACTGCCCGCTGAAATGGCTGAGCAAGGACACTCAGTGTGTTATCCTTAGTTCGCGATGGGCACCAACTGTTGGCCTCACTCTTGGAAGAACAAAGAAAAAAAAAGAATGAGAATGTGGGTGCTGCAGACTTCACAATAAATCGTTCTTGTTCAAAATATAATCCTGAAATTAAATCAGTCCACTTTCACAGACTGAGCAATGGAAAGGATCTATGTTAGAAATGTGTAAGTTATTAAACCAAACTTGCTAAACTCCGAATAAAGCTGGCCCCCAGCTGCAGCTTGTTCTACTCTGCTACTTCTCCAGGTGACAGCACTGGCACCTAATGGAGTTTCCCACCTCTCTCAGTATGTGGCACTGGGTACATGGAGTGTTGGAGGTTACCTCACTGTCAACAGTCCTCCTTTGACTTTGCTTTGTCTGGGAACTACCTTGTGATTGGTGGTGGGTGATATACCCTTAGATTATCGACAGAAGAGGCTCTGCCTTAGACAACAAGAAAATCTATTGCACGATGACAATACATACAATGATTTTGGATCAGGCATAACAATAGCAACTAAGGAACTGGGTCAGGTACATCTGTTCCCTCTGTACAATAGTTGGAGCCAAGGCAACATGAACATTAACCCCTTCAGAACCATTACCTTAGACAACATCCACAGATCCCTTTCTGTTTAAATAATCCAGATTTACAGTTTGAGGGAATCATGAAGGTTTTATCAATAGCAGAGAATTCCACTGACACCAGTTAACCCTTTGGCTGCATACAGGAACACATGAGGATGAATTCTTGAGATGGATGAAACCAGGTACAAGTATTAGAGATAGCAAGAACTGCCGATGCTGGAGTCAGAGATGACACAGTGTGGAGCTGGAGGAACACAGCAGGCCAGGCAGCATCAGAGGAGCAGGAAAGCTGACGTTTCAGGTCGGGACCCTCTGATGCTGCCTGGCCTGCTGTGCTCCTCCAGCTCCATAAAAGTATTAGAGTTCTAACTTTTAAAGAAGGTGCTGTTGATACATTGGATATTTGTGAGGGAAGGTTTGAGAACATGACAAGGTTATATTAAAAACAGAGATAGTAGGAACTGCAGATGCTGGAGAATCTGAGATAACAAGGTGTAGAGCTGGATGAACACTGCAGGCCAAGCAGCATCAGAGGAGCAGGAAGGCTGACGTTTCGGGCCTAGACCATTTCATATCTTATATTGAAAACAGCAAGTCTGAGGGGAGAACTGGACATTGTATGATTGCGTTTGTTTCGTGCAGTAAAATCTTCCATATTATTCCATATATGATAGTATCATTTTAACAAAATTTGGATCAATTCTGCTTTTGTGTGTGAATTTTGTTTGTATATTCTTTATTTGTTGCGTTTTTTTTATTCAGGCGTGAATTCCCTGGAGCTGATATTGGCTCACACCTTTTCCCACCTCCTGACAATGATTGTTCAGATAACATTGTTACTCATCTTTACATTCCTTGTTTTCAAGGTCAGTTCTTGGCTTTTCTCCTGAAATTGTTACATGGGATATTGTTGAATAGTCTGCCAACAAACTGAACAGCCAGCAGCTTAGTCGAGTACCATTGAGATAAATGTTGTGGCCAAGCAGTTAAATTATAGCCTGCAGCATACTGCATCTCTAACGTGGGTCCATTACAGGCAGAATTAAGGGAATTGATAAATGGGGAGTAGAAAGATGTGTCAATTTCACTGAAGTAGATCCAAGAAATCTCCCAGAATTAGAGATACAAGTGGCTGGACAGGACATTGGTTAGGGCACTTTTGGAATACTGCGTTCAATTCTGGTCTCCCTGCTATAGGAAGGATGCTGTGAAACTTGAAAGGGCTCAGAAAAGATTCATAAGGATGTTGCCAGGGTTTAAGGGTTTGAGCTATAGGGAGAGGCTGAACAGGCTGGGGCTATTTTCCCTGGAGCGTTGGAGGCTGAAGGGTGACCTTATAGAGATTTATAAAATCATGAGGGACATGGCTAGGGTAAATCGACAAGGTCTTTTCCCTGGGGTGGGGGAATCCAAAACTAGAGGCCATAGGTTTTAAACGAAAGGGGAAAGATGTAAAAAGGACCTAAGGAGCAACTTTTTCATGCAGAGGGTGGTGCGTGTATGGAATAAGATGTCAGAGGAATTGGTGGAGGCTGGTACAATTACAGCATTTAAAAGGCATCTGGATGGGTACATGAATAGGAAGGGTTTAGAGGTATATGAGCCAAATGCTGGCAAATGGGACTAGATTAATTTAGGATATCTGATCGGCATGGACAAGTTGGATTGAAGAGTCTGTGCTGTACAGTTCTATGACTCTATGACTTGGGAGATTGAGGAGTTACAGGAAGTTATTGTCAGTAAGAAGGTGGTGTTGGAGAAGTTAATGAGGTCAGAGTTTGATAAGTCCCCAGACCCGGATGATCTATACCTCAGAGTGTTGAAGGAGGTGGCTGTAGGGATAGTTAGCGTTGAAGGAGGTGGCTGTAGGGATAGTTAGTGTTGAAGGAGGTGGCTGTAGAAATAGTTAGTGTTGAAGGAGGTGGCTGTAGGGATAGTTAGTGTTGAAGGAGGTAGCTATAAGGATAGTTAGTGTTGAAGGAGGTAGCTGTAGGGATAGTTAGTGTTGAAGGAGGTGGCTGTAGGGATAGTTAGTGTTGAAGGAGGTAGCTGTAGGGATAGTTAGTGTTGAAGGAGGTGGCTGTAGGAATAGTTAGTGTTGAAGGAGGTAGCTGTAGAAATAGTTAGTGTTGAAGGAGGTGGCTGTAGGGATAGTTGATGCATTGGTGATCATCTTCCAAAATTCCACAGATCCTGAAATAACTCCTGCAGATTGAAAGCTCGCTTTTATTTAAGAAGGGAGTGAAAGATAAAACAGGGAACTGCAAAGAACCCTGTGTGTCCTTGTCAATAAATCACTGAAGGCTAACTTACAGGGGCAGCAAGGTATAAGGAAGGTTAATAGAACATTAGTTTGGTTAGACTGCACCTGGATTCCTGTGTGCAGTTTTGGTCTCCCTTTATCTCAGGAACAATATTATTGCCATAGAGGGAGAGGAGCAAAACACTTGTCCCCAGGATGGCAGGACTGTCCTGTGAAGAGAGAGCTTTGTCAAACTGGGCCTGGATTCTCTACAGTTCCAAAGAATGAGAGGAGATCTCATTGAAAGTTACAAAATACTTAAAAGTCATGGACAGGGCAAATGCAGGCAAGACAGTTCCCTGACCGGGGAGTCTAGAACCAGGGGCACAATTTAAAAATAAAGGGAACCCACTGAGGACTGAGATGAGAAAAAAAGTCTGTTAAGTCAGAGGGTTGTGAATCATTGAGTTTGTTATCCCCAAAGAGTTTAAAGTATAGATGACAGATTTCTAAATACTGACAATGTAAAGGGATATGGAGATAGTGTGGGGAAAAGCCAATGATGTTCATAATCAGCTATGATCTGGTACAGTAGAGCAGACTTGATGGACTGAATGGCTTACTTGTGCTCTTGTGTTCCTATGTGCCTAAGTCATCAAAATGTATGGACCCACAGATTAGGTGCATGAAATAAAATAAAGAACTGCAGATGTTGAAGATCTGAAACAAAAACAGAAAGTGCTGAAGAAGCATACTGAACTCAAAACGTTAACTCTGTTTCTCTCTCCACAGACGCAGCCAGACCTGCTGAGCTTCTCCAGCAATTTCTGATTTTGAATAAGGAACAGGAGTGGGCCATTCGGCCCCTCAAGCCTGCACCACTATTCAATAAGATCTAGGCTGATGTAATTCTAAGCTCAAATCCACTCCCCAGCCTAACCCTGCAATAACCTTTCACCTATTTGCTTAACAAGACTCTATCTACCTCTACCTTAAAAATATTCACTCACTGGACATCCACTGTCTTTGAGGAAGAGAGTTCCAAAGACTTGAGACTCTCAGAGAGAAAACAATTCTCGTCATCCCCGTTTTAAATGGACAAACCCTGATTTTTAAACAGTGACCCCTTATTCTCGGTTTTCCCACAGGAGGAAACATCCTGTCCCCATGTACTCAGTCAAAACCTCTCCGGATCCTGTATACTTCAATCAAGTCACCTCTCAATCCTTTAAACTCCAGCAGATAAAGGCCGAGCCTGCTTAACCTTTCCTCGTAAGACAATCTGCTCATTCCAAATATCAAGCTGGCTTTCCCCATCTAGGCTCCCCTTACTCATTTAACTTTTCCAGTGTATATGTAGGTTACAGTCACTCCCTAAGTATTGCCATACCTTTCTGTCAGCTTCACATCCTTTCTTTCTTTCTTTATATTTCCCCCTATAGTGTGGTTATTGTTCGAGGGCCTGCACTGCACTCCCACAAGTGACTTCTTCCCTTTCGTCATTTCTCATCTCTACACAAACAATTTCCACGTCCTGGTTTCCAAAAGTTACCTCATCCTGTGCTCACTCTACCATTCACTAACAAAAGCTACCCCTCCACCTTCTCTCACTCCCACCTTTAGTGGCGCTCAGAGCTGGGGCAGGTGAATGCGAGAGTGGGAGAGTCGTTGCCTTGGTGGCGGGTGGGTCCAGTAGCGGGGATAGAGTGAGAGTGAAGAATCAGAAAGAGGGATAATGCTGGTGCTTATCCTGCAGAGAATGAAAAAGGTCATTGACCAGGGCTAGGCCTTCCTCCAAATGGCTACATTGGGCCAGGGTGTGGCATCAGGGTATCCTCAGCTGTTCCTAGGGGTGGGGGGGCGGGAAAGAGGAGAGTCCTCCTCTGCAGTACCCCATCCAGCAGGAGCTCCAGGACCCTGCCCCCAAAGCCGGGCACTATTTCCCCCGTGTTTCCCATGATCGGGGCAGATGTCAGGGCAGCGCTGGGCAGCCCCCGATTGACAGTGCCTGCCCAAGCTTATAAAGATGATGCTGGCACTAGGGATACCAGCTGTTTCACAAGTTTCTGGTGAGTGGTGAGTTGCTCCAGGAACACCGTGTGATAAAGTGAGGACAGAACCAGGCATGAGGGACATCATTGAGTTGTTAATGAGGCAATATCAGTAGAACTCACTCGGCTTGCAATTAGAAACCCACCATAAAAACTCAACACAATGCGCACTTAGCAAAAAAAAGCTTAAGAATCTGTCGACAGAAGCCGAGTGAAACCTATCAATCCTCCTCGAGGGCCTGGAGAAACTAGTGAACACAAAGAATTGAGGTAAATGACCCTGTCATTTATTGAGTCATCCTGGATGCCTGGGAGTCAGAATTCTGGGCTTAAAGCCACCTCCAACTGTTCCACAGTTTCACAAATTCATTGCTTAACTTTGAGTGAGTGTGACACTCATTACAGGTTCTGCAAAACCGGATAAATTCACAGAGAAAACCTTGCTTTTTGTTGCAAACTTTGCAGAGATATGTTCTTGCACCTTTGTGACTAATGCTGCGTAACTCCAACAAATTAGAAACTAAAACAGAACTGCTGGAGAAACTCAGCAGGTCTGGCACAACTGTGGAAAGAAAGCAGAGATAATGTTCTGGGTCCAGTGACCCTTCTTCACAACATTTCTGTTCTGAACAGAACAGTACAGTTCTTCAGAACATCAATTTCTATTTTTATTTCTGACTTACAGCATCCGTAGTTCTTTGGTTTATTTTCCAACAAATATAGGTTGTATTTCCAAATTAACAACAAATAACTTTTGAACTTGGCATATTTTGGAACAGGTGATTATTGAAGTTAGGGTTTCTTTGTTTAACCTGGCCCTCAGTTGAAGTTGAGAGCATGTTGTAGACATGTTTAATCAACATATGATAGGAATTAATTTTCAATTTGCACTTGAAGATCAGAGTAGCTTTGAGCACAAACCACCACTTATACAGAAAACTGTTTTACATCATTGGATCATTCTAATCAAATGTATGGAAAAAATCTAAAAGGCATGTAAATGATTTTTAAAAATTTGTTCATGGGACGTGGGCATTACTAGTGGGCCCAGCATTTATTGCCCATCCTTAGTTGCTCCTTGAGAAGGTGGTGGTGAGCTGCCTCCTTAAACCACTGCAGTCCATGTGCTGTAGGTAGACCCACAATGCCCTTAGGGAGGGAATTCCAGGATTTTGATCCGGCGACAGTGAAGGAATGGCGATATATTTCCAAGTCAGGATGGTGAGTGGCTTGGAGGAGAACTTGCAGGGGGTGGTGTTCCCATGTATTTGCTGCTGTTGTCCCTTTGGATGGAAGTGGTTGTGGGTTTGGAAGGTGCTGTCTGAGGATCTTTGGCGAATTTCTGCAGAGCATCTTGTAGATAGTACACACTGCTGCTACTGAGCGTCGGTGGTGGAGGAAGTGAATGTTTATATATAAACGTTCTGGTTCTCTGTTTTAAAAGAGGTGTGCAAATAGAAATTACCTGAACAAATTAAATTTTAACCACATGTCCTTCCACAGGTTCCCAATGAAGGCTCCTTGTTTCTGATAGTAATCCTGGTCTTAATGCAAGGCATCACTGGAATGGCCTTGGGGCTTGTCATCTCGGCTTCATTTGATGATGAGCAGTCAGCAGCCCAGCTTTCCCTAGGTATCTTCTACCCTTGTATTGTTCTGAGTGGTAAGTGAGGTTTAACAGGACAACAACTTGCATTTAAATAACTGCTTTCACGTAATGAAATATATGAAGGTGTTGCGAGGAGCGATCATAAAACAAAATTTGACTTTAAGCCACAAAAAAGTGAGATTACGTGGATGACCACCCGCTTGGTCAAAGAGGTAGGGTTAGTAAGAAACAACATTGGCATGTGGAGAGCTTTAGGGACAGGATCCTACAGCTGACAGCAAGGCCACAGATGGTGGGCCAATTCAAAGTTGGAGTGGTCAAGAAGCTCATACTGGTGAGATCCTGGAGAGGCTGGCGGAGGTGGCAGAGATAGGGAGGGAATGTAGGGGCTGGAGGGGGTGACGGAGATAGGGAGGGGGTGTAGGGGCTGGAGGAGGTGGCGGAGATAGGGAGGGGGTGTAGGGGCTGGAGGAGATGGCAGAGGTAGGGAGGGGGGTGTAGGGGCTGGAGGAGGTGGCGGAGATAGGGAGGAAGTGTAGGGGCTGGAAGATGAGAATTTTAAAATCAAGGTGCTGATCAAGTGGTGGCCAACATAGACCAGTGAACACAAGACTGATGGGGGGAAACGGGAGTAGCTGCAGTTTCGACAATGGGCTAACATAAATAAATGTTATTGAATAAAATCAGTTTTCGCATTATTCGATTTGGTGAGAAAGATAACATTCCAGCCTTTAATTAAGGAATGCCTGGAGATAATGGTGTGCTGTTATCCAGAGTCACTTCAGTCTCATAATCCCGCTTTCAGTGAGGATGGGGACCATCTAATTCAGTTTGTGAAGACATTGTGTGACCTTCACTAGGCCACGCAGCTGTATCCTCTCCAGCCTGTCATCACCCGTGTGTCTAAGGTCCGAGAGTTGCCTCTTCCTGAGAGTCTCCATGACTTCCTGCTTTGCGCAGTGTTCCTATATATTCCCATTTAGCTTTCCTGTTGTGTAACTCTTTGCAATCGAAATAATCCTCACAGCAACACGATGACATCTTATTTCCCAGGAAGTTTTTTTCCTATGGAATTCTAACAAACTGAACAGGAAGTTTGACAACACGTTCAGTTCGAAGCAGATGGCGAAGTTCCTGAACTGATTTTCCTCTTGTGATCTTTCTCCAAATCCACTTTGAAAGTTCTTATTGAACCTGCCTCTGGGGCCCTTCCAGGCAGCACTGTCTGAATCACAGCAGGGTCCTGTGTAAAATAATCTCCAGCTCACTCTTCCCAGTATGGCACCCAGGCGTAGTGAAGGCTGAATCATAGGAACCTATCAAATGCCAAGTTTGGCTTCACCAAGCTGTGTTGTTGTTTCACTTTCAGGAATCGTTTGGCCCATTGAAAGTATCCCGTATCCCCTGAGGTACGTTAGTTTTATTTTGCCACAAACATATGCATCAGAAGCGCTCCGAGGTATAATTGATCGAGGTAAGGGAGCATTTTCGACCGTTTCAAAACACAACTTGCATTCATGTGAACAAATTAGTCTTCTGGAAGCTAATTTATGATTCAAGTTAATGGTAACTTTGCAACACAATTATTGCAAATTGCTAAAACAATTGACCTAACTGTGTTTCTACATTACACTGTAATCTGTCCAGTCAGGGTTTGGCAATTTTCTGGATTATGGGATGATGCTGGGGTACAAACCCCTGAGTGCACAAACCAGAACGCACCGTAAACATAAATATTTCACTGACATCTAAAACAATGTTTTTTGAAATAGTTTTATGCAATAAAACACCGTCTCCCATGTGTCCCAAAGTCCACGACTGCCCACATCCCACAAAATGAATAAATAAAGAAAAATTCTGCAAGTTGTTTGTATTTGTTGTAACATTCTCCAGATAACTGGTGTTTCTGAACAATTGATTTCTGGACTGAAGAGGTTAATGATCTATATTCTAATCTCTGTCGGACACTTTCTTCAATGTTAACAATGAAAATTGGATTTTTCATTCCATTTCATTTGACAACTATATGCAAGTTGTAATTTTTTTTCCTTTAGTCATTCACAAGATGCAGTCATCGCTGGCTAGGCAGCATTTATTGCCCATCCCTAATTGCCCAGAAGGCACTTCAGAGTCAACCACATTGCTGTGGGTCTGGAGTCACATGTAGACCAGACCAGGTAAGGATGGCATTTCCTTCCCTCAAGGACATTAGTGAACCAGATGGGTTTTTCCAACAATCAGCAATGGATTCATGGTCATCATTAAATTCCTGATTTTCCTAAATTCAGCTTCCACCAGCTGCCATGGTGGGATTCAAACTCAGGTTTGCAGAACATTACCTGGGTCCCTGGATTAACAATGCAGCAACAATACCACTGGGCCATTGCTTCCCCTGTGGGATGAAGGTTGTTTTTCTGTAGCATTTTCTGACAGATATAGTATTGGCGATTCTGGGTTAGTACTCAGCTTCATGATTTTTTATTTAAGATTGCTCCACTATTTATTGATGCAATTGACCACTGTCAATTTCACACTTCCATTGCAGCAAAAACAAACCATCACGTTGGAAAAGTGGTTCAACCCTGGTATAACAACAAGAAAACAGGTCTTGCATCACACCCTGCAGATGTCTCAAAGTGCTTTAGGGTCGCTGTTGTAATGTAGGAAATTCAGATGCCAGTTTACACACAACAAGATCCCAGAAAACATCAGTGAGCAGTTAATGACTTAATCATCCATTTCAGCAGCTGATTATTCCCCAGGTCTGCTCCAGATCTGAGGATCTGGGCCTTGTCAAAACTCAGTGAGTTGCTGTTGGCAAAAGGTGAGCGAAAAGAAATCAAGATTTTTTTTGCTGAAATACTTGTTTACAAAGGAAAAGAAATATGCATTTATATAGCACCTTCCAGCACCTCGGGCTACTCTAAGGTGCTTTACATTCAATGAAGGACATCTGAAGTGTAGTCACTATTTTGAAGCAGGAAGCTTGACAGCCAGGCTTTGCACAGCAAGATCCCACAATCAGCAATGTGATGGTAACCAGATAAATTGTTGAGGTGAGCTGGGTTGAAGGATATTACTTGGCCAGGACGTGGGGCAGAAATTTCTTGCTCTTCCTCAAAATAGTGCTGTGGGGTATCTCCCGCCCACATGCAAAGGCAGAAAGGATTGTTGTTGGACATCACAGGGTGAAGGATGCTGTCCCCAGACAGTGCAGCACCTTCTCAGTCTGGGTTAGGTGTCAGCTCATTGAGGGACTGCTCTGTGAATCGCTCTGTACTCCCACCCTCAAACCGCAACCACCCCCCCCACACACACAAACACACCTACACACACACACACACACACACACACACACACACACACACACACACACACACACACACACACACACACACACATATACACACACACACCCTCACACACACACACACACACACACACCCACACCCACACACCCCCCCCACACACACCCCTCATACATACACAGAGAGAGACACACACACACCTACATATACACACATGCGCGCGCGCACAGACACACACACACACACACACTTAAATACACACACACACCTACATACA